GCTCCAAGTAGCAAGGCCAGGAGCCCCTAGTAGTAGTAGCGTCCTTGCTCCTAGTAGTAAGGCCAGGAGCCCCTAGTAGCGTCCTTGCTCCATATCCATGTCCATATCCCCCAAGAGTCTGGATCCACGTGTCTCCAAGGCCGGGATCCACATACCCTCTGAGGTACGGTGCTGTGTTCGACACTGTAGGTGCCAGAAGGGTCCAGGAGGGTCCATTCTGAGGTTCGCGATTGGATCCTCCAAACCTGAGGTCTCTCCACCTCTTCCGGGTTCAACGAAGCGAACCGAACGCTCCGGATCCTTCGCGCACGGCAGGACAGCGAAGGGTACAGCGCGGAGGATCCCGATAGCTTCCACCGGCGCCTCGAGGCTGGGGCGAGGGGCGACCTCGGGGAACGCGCCTTCGGCGTTCGGAACTCGTTCGGATTAGATGCCATATACCTTGGGTAACCCTTGGTAACCCTTTGCCTAAGCATACCAAGGGCTACCCAACATATACCAGGCAGATATTCTTTTGAAGTCTTTCTCACTGAATGAACAGTCGCAAACCACTGAAAACTCACTGAGAGAGACTCAGAGTCAGTCCTTTTTGCTGGCATTCCCGCACGAAACGGTCCGTCTCCATGTCCACCTTCCAGCCTTTTTCGCCGCAGGACGGCATATCGACAGTACTTGATTGTATATCGACGAGTAGATCGAATGTATGAACCAATCCGAAAACCTGACAGACCTGGTGCTTATTGGTATTTATTGGTCATTGGTGTTTGGATTTCCCCATCTTCGATCTGATTCCACGACTTTTGTTCTTGGGGTTTGTCCCTTTTCTGCTAAGATTGAACATCAGTTAGACCTTTTTCGGTCGCCTTTTGAACCTTTTCATCACGTGCACTCGCCCGTGATGTGTCCGCGCTGATCGATTGCGCCCTGTTCCGAATCAACGGGCCACTGAATCGGTCGGCCGATCGGCACAGGCGTTCGCCGAACGGCAGCGGCACGCCTATAGCCCTGAGGGCTATGAACCCACCTCACCACCAGAGGCCGCTGGCTGAGGTGCCTTTGGCCGGAGAGAAGTCCACCAGAAGGTCAAAGTGATGGGTTTCAGGTCACAAGTCAAGGAGTACGAAGAAATAAGAGATTAGAAGTACACATGCTGTGACCATCCAGATGAGTTTCACCGGTGTTCAGTTGTTTGAGCTCCTATTTGCCAATCCAACACCCCGTTAGTTTCTGCAGAATTGTAGTGGTTTCTGAGGGTGGCCATTACATACCTCCAAGTCGAAGAGGTCGATCGTGCCATTTTCTTCCAACCAGACTTGAAATAGCAAATTGTTAGGTTTACCATTGTCCATCAAAGCGGCAGAATTTATTTGTCACGGACTTCTTCTTCGCTTCAAAGCCAGCCCGATTGGCAAGCAGCGGCTGAAAGTCTGAAAGTGTGGAGAGACATGGAGTTACCATGTATGCAAAGGGTGCCCTGCCGTGACAGAAGAAAAACCATCACAAAGAAATCAATTCGCTATGAATGCTCGAGCTTCACATCTCAGGAAATGTATTCTTATTCTTCTAGTTTCCATTTCAAGAATGCTTGTTCATCAGGAATGAGAATAATGAGAGACCACTATTCACTATTACGACTGAAAACTAACGGGAACGGGCAACGATTTGTTGACAACTATTTCAATGTTTAATCAAATCACCTCTCGTTTGATTTGTTCCATTTAAAACATAGCAGGCTGGTCCTGTTTCGTCCAAACCTTGAGAAGGAGAAAGGTTTTTTCTTTTCCTCACGGTTCATGACTCGTGATTCCGTGGAGACTGTCACTGCTACTTTCTGATGGACAATTTGTGCATAGTTGGTTGACTTGCCAGGGGCTTGTCGCAAAGTTCAATCATCATGCCGTTCAGCGCGGAAAAAGGGCGCAGTGCAGAGGATAAGTGTTTTACTCATACTAATGTGAAGACCAAAACATTTGTTTTCCCATGTCTTCCCAATGTTGTTGAGATCTCCTATCACTATCCTGGAGTAAGGATAATTTCAACTTAAGAGTATTTTTGTGTTTGTGTTTTTCTTTCCACTTTCTCAAAAGTTACTTAGTAATTAGAGCTGCCACATGTATGGATTAGATCGGTGGATACGATGTGCGGAAGGACCATCCAAGGGGAAGGACCATCCCATTCTGAAAGCACGAAGCTATTGAAGACATGGCGAAGACATTGCATTTTGAGACACATTCCAGTCTGTCCCAGCTTGGACCAAACCTGAAGGGCCGGCTGTTTCAGCCCTCATCCATCAGGGCCGGCTGTTCTGAACAGGGGTGGATTTGCATGGGGTAGGCATCGCAGCATGAGGATTGCTTAGAAGAAAGCACATACTTTGTGCAGTTACCTTTAATGGTGTTTGTTCGAAACCAAGCACTTGGGTGAGGCACACGACAAACAATGGCAGAATCCTTGCGATTCTGTTCGCAGTCAAACTTTGGCTTTTGCAGTCAAACTTTTGGCTGTCCCCCATCCAATGATGATCGTTACCGCACTTATTTTTTAGTTGGAGCTGGGGTCCCATTTTAAGCAGAAACAATAGACTGTTATTGGATATGTTGCGTTCTGCCTTTTAGCCTATTTCGGCTCGGAACTTACAATTTCCATACCAATGTCAACAAGTCACGCGCGGAGCCTGGTTATGCCCCCTCCTTTGCTGGACATGATTCGAGGGGTGTGAGTGAGATGGTGTCAGTGCTGGACGATGTCTCATTTGCAACTACCTCATTCGATCCTATTGTATTTTTTTGGTATGTTTATCGATATTATTTTGCATGGAGATCATGACCTCCACCCTGTCAAAACTACTGGCAGAAAGCCACGGTCAAGCAAACAACACGGTCGCTTCATGGACACAAGGTCTTAGTTTGCATAGATGCAGGAATGAATCTGCCTTCTCGGTGCCACTGTGGGCCCAACGTGTTTGGACGGCCGGAAAGAACTCAGTCATCGCTTGCGGATGGCGGGATGCCCAGAAGGTGAAGAGATCAAGGAGTTCAGGTCGCCCATTTGACAGCAAGCAAAGCACTTATTAAGTGAGTTTGGATGATTTTCATTTGCCAATCTGTCCGCAGGTCGTGAGGTATTGTGGCCAGGTGGGCACCTCCAACGGTTGACTTCCTACAGGTCCTTTCAATGATTAAGTTGACTGTATGCTTCTTCGAGAACGCATGCACACACACACACACGGAGCGACACCCACCTGACGGTATGTCCATATATTTCCATGTATTTCCGGGAAACTGAGGCGCAGAAAAGACCTGCAGCACGGCAGGCGACTGACCTGGTGGGGGCGGCTTGCAGTTGCCGGTTTACTGCTACTGCCAGTGACCTGCTGTTGCTGAATGTCGAAGCCTGAATGTGGAAGCTTGATGTTGTTAGCTACATTGCTCTACTCGACCATACATAGTTAGTGTATCTACAAGCAAAACGAGCATACCGAATGAACAAGAAGAGATGTTTCATGGTGTTTCAGCTGGATTCTTGTGTTCATCATTTGGTGATACATTGTGATACATTCATTGGGTTTGTCCTATTACCTGTAACAGTCGGTTATCACTATTTTACAAAAATGCCCTTTAGTAACCGGTAATAGGATAGAAGAGATATACCCATCATTATGATACATTCACTTCGAACTTGCTCAGAACGATGATTTTGGCCACATCTACCTTGCACGTTGCGAGTATCATGGGATGGGGGATTCCGGGCAGTTCCCGGGTTCCATCCACTCCCTTTTGTGACCCTGGTAAATCTGTGTTTGGAAGCAGAATTGGCTTCAAGATGGACCCTTTTGAATGAAGGGATAAACTACCTCTCCAGATTCTGCTTATAGGTTGTTTTGTTTTCGTTTGTTGCCAGATCCGTCACAAGAAGCCAAGGAGACCACATGCTGAACGATCTCCAATTGCACGTTGCGTCCATATTATCCAAGGTGGCGGAAAGGTTCAAGCCATCAGTGATGCAGGATACGGTTTGAAGACACACCAATCCAGAAACAACCTGAAGACCGGTGTCACTGTTTCCTGGTGCGACACCAAGGCAGCACCAGCGCCCAAGCGGCAAAAACTGAAGGCAGGGAGAGTTGGAGAGATGCACCAGGTTGTAAAGGTTGGCCTGCAGTAGTGTCCTTGCTCCTAGTAGCGATGCACCTTGCTACTAGTAGTAATATGTAGTAATGCCAGGAGCTACTAGTAGCAAGGAAGGAAGCTACTAGTAGAGATGCCTTTGTTACTACTGTAGTGGACCACCACCATGTTTTTGCATTTTGGCATTAGAAGAAGTCTGCGGAAGACAACTTTGCATTTGCGGTCACGAGAGAGTACGATAAAGCATTACTTCACAGAACATAACATAACTTCTAATGTCCGTTTCAGTTTACTTTCACTGAAGTGGGATGTTATTGCCTCGTGCTGGATTGGAGTCCACCATGGGATCGCACACTTATGGGAGTTACAGTAGACGTGACGTAGAAGGAGTCGAAGCTTGTTTCGACCATGTTCGCACATGTGTTGGGACAAGGAGCAATAGTACAAAACCACTGAGGAAGCATTGTGACAGGGCCTATGTCAATCTATGTCATGTAACATTTGTTTAGTTGTTTACATATTATTTCTATATATTGGTCTAAGCGAGGCCCTGAAGCAATACGATTAGAACACTGTGCATGCGAACGGGTTGCTAAAGCAAGTGACCGTTGGTCCCGACCGTCTCTTCGCGGGAGACCGTTTTGAGTCCGTCAACCAGTCCCCGGTCGCGACCAGCACCTAGACCGTCCAGAGGCCAAGACAGAGGCTGAACATGGGTGGTTTTGGATGTGTATAGAATCAATCTGGACCGACCCACATTTGTGGATCCAATATCCACAATTTGATGTAAGGCAAAGATCTAGGGTTGGGCCAATGTTTGTTTCGAAAGACCGCCCCAATATCAACCTGGGACCTCAGGTGATGAACTCAACCTCAACCCAATCACGTTTGGATGTCGAGGCCTCCGAAGGGTCCTGGTATGAAGCATATGCCGGGGCCACCGCGGACTATTACAAAAAATACATGGACAAGGACCCCACGCGACGGACAAGAGTTGGTCGCCATGCTGGGTTCCAAAGTCTGCTCGGTCCTTGGTTTGGTCACTTGGAGTTGGTTTCTTGTTTGATTAAGCAAAAAACCTCGTGCCAGTACCAATTACATTGAAATATTTGTAAGTGTTGGTGTTGTTGTCGCAGAAGAGATGGTGGATTTGTGACACGATTCTGGGGATGCATAGGATAATAATACTGTAGTCAGAGTGATTTTTTCCACATTCAGAGACATTTAGTCCAGAGAAGATCAGAGAGTCTATATAATTAATCCGAAAGGGATGTGGCGTGCAGCGGCGCAGCGTGCCACGTCATGAAGGGACTCTGGTTGACATAGGGATTGGTTTTCCTGCTCTCGTTGTTGCTTCATCCACATCCCGTCCCGCCGAAAACGGCCTCCACCGGTGGGACGGTAGCTAGCTACGAAGCCACGCCACGAAGGTCCGCCACCGAGGTGCGCCACATGCACCGAGGTCCGCGGACTCGACTTGATCCCATGTTTTTTTTGTTTTTTTTTTCCGTGACCGATGTGTGGTTAGTTGAGCAGGGTCACACACCTTACCAATTATAGCATGTTCCACAGAGTCCCGGTATCAACTCTTAGGAAAGTGTTTTGGAGTTGCTTGCAACCCCTACTTAATGTAGAATAATGTAGACTCATTGAGTAATAACACCCCCATTTGGATTCTGTAAAACTTTTTCATATTATGGAGGGTCTTATCAACAAAGAGTCTAATTCTCGTGCAACCGAACAACTGAGAGGGCGATTGGAGACCCAAGTCTTGACCTTGGTCGCATCCTTGAAATGTTTTCATGTTGAAACCGTTGGGGATGCTGAATGCTGGGCACATTCGATGACAAGCTTTGTTGGAATATGTTGGAATGAAACATGACCATGCAGTTCTTAGGGGCCAGTTCTTCAACGTTGAAGTCTTACCAAGAAAAGTTGGGAACTCAATTGAAACTCATCATATACTTTACTGGATT